TGTTAAGCACATGTACAGTACTAATGCTGGTAAAAATTCATTACGAATTAAGATTATTACTTGCCGAACATGGAATACCAGAAGAGGTGGTTTCTTGACAATGGTCCTCCCATTCCAATCATCAGAGTTTAAAACTTCCATGAGATTCAACGGTGCAAAGCATGTGTACTGACCCTCAATTCATCATCCTGCCTCTAATGGTGCAGCTGAGATTCAGTTAGAATTGTAAAGGAAGCACTTTCCAAGCAGGTAATCCATGGAACCGTAGGAAAATCAACAAACACAGATCATAAGCAAATTTACTCAGATACAGAACCACGTGCCAATGCTAGTGTGATGGTGATGTACTCCTGCAGAGTTAATGGCGAAGAGACAGTTGAGAACAAGATTAAGTTTAAAGGTTTAAGTCTGTTTGAAGTTGTAGAGAGGAAACAAGCTCAACAAAAATGTATCATGACAAGAGTTCCAGTGAAAGAGTGTTCAAGGTAAATGAGAAAGTGAGAGAACATGGCTAAAGGTTATGGTACTGTACATGCAAAGTGGATAACTGGTGTCATTGACAAGGTATGTGATTCAGGGACATATTTAGTGAAATGTGGTAACTCTTGAGATATGTTCATGGGATCACATCACAGGCACATGACGAGATGAATGTAGCACCAGGACATGATGATAAACTTGACACAAATTCAGATGATCATGATGATGATGATGTCAAAGATGATGTTTCCCAGCATCCACCACTGTGTCAACTGGATTGTGTGTGATGATGGTGTCTGTCACTGATAATGCACAGAGTGCAAGTGAAACCCCCTGTAAAACTTGATGGAGGGAATAGTCCCAGAAGATCAAAACAGAGTTAGGAGACCTTGTAAATTAAATTAGAACCTAATTTATCTGAATTGTGAACAGGCTCTTCAAAAACTGTTTAGTTAGGAAGTTATATTTGATGTGTTCATCTTTCTGCCATATGTAATTCTGCAAGTTTTGTTCATTTAGGATTTGCAGCAGCCATGCTCTCTTTGAAAGGGAGAAATAGTGCATATATATATAGGATGTATGTTTATATGCTGCCTTATTGAATATATATTATATATTATGTTACTTCTACCAAAGTTGCAGTGTTTAGGGGCTTTGTGTAAACACGAAATGTAAGTTAGCACGTTGTAACTGTGTAAGAACAGAGAATAAACGCCCAGCCAGACAGACTATGTGCTTGTCATTCTCCCATTAAATACCGCAAGATACTACAATCCTTCCTTACTGAAGCTTTAGTAAGCCCCTTTATAATATTTATATATACTTGTGTCACTTGCCAGGTGCTTCTGTGTAAGAGCGCGCAACATGCTGCCACCCTTTAAGGGCTTGGCACTCTTACAACAACTTACGTTGATACTCTGACCTGGTAGTGTGACGCGAGAGGAAGGCGCATGGGTACATGTAATTATAGTATCGAGCATTAGGGAAAGAACAACGGTGAATACTATAGGTGAATCATAGACCCAACATACAAATACAATGTTTATTGAAACACAGAAATGGTTACAGAAAAGACGTTGTATGCACCCAAAATAGGAACTCCTGGTACCATGGCCTCAGGATTAATTTACTTGCCCCACTACTGGGTGTACCCACACCAAAAAACACAAATTCTCACAGCACCTTAGCACCATTAAAACCAGTGGCACTTGCCAGTACAACACTCAATGCCCCAGGGGCAATACTCCAGCGGCCGCCATGGGAGTCTCATCACCAAGTGACACCTTCCAACAAACTCCGATAATTCCAGTGGAATAACACCACCACGCAAATAGCCCTACTGAGTTATGTACTGTACTCATCCACCAATGCTGGGGCTGGCAGTTGTTTGTGGGGCTTGACGATCCGGGTTCACCACATGGGCATAGCGTTAGGGGAATACTGGCCAGCTATGGGGCCCATAGGTGGTATTGGAGCTTCTGACGGTCGGGGTTCACGGGGATAACCGATTCTACTGGACCTCAGACGTCTCCCCAGACTAGTGGATGCGTCATCCACGCTACAGACATGGCCTAGGCTGCGATAGGGACCTGTGGGTGAGGAGAGAGGCGCTTACTGGTTTGAAAAACGAACTGCCGTTTCAAAGGGACATTAAGGACGTAAAATACTTCACTCAAAGCACATCAACTAAGTTACTGTAACACGCACAATCAAACTATTAATTAGGTAAAATCACTTAAAAATGGCGAATTACAACACAGAGAAGGTGGAATGACCTACCTGTGGGTGGAGGATCGTGGCACTTACTGGTTTGAAAACGAACCGCCACCCTCCACCCACGCCAAAGTCACGGATTCCACCTACTTAACCATTTCACTGAATTACGTTACTGTACACCCTGACGTTTGAAACTGAGACTACGAACTCAGTTTCATTCCCTACTATTATCTTTACAAACAATGCTCTGACTGAGCTATCAAAAGCAAGAATTAAATTGATCACAAAAGGTTGGATGGCAATCCGGCAAACAGATCCCAACACGCAACGCCTTACTACAAACAAAGGGAGCAGATTTAAAAGTTCCCTTCAGGAATATTAACTAATTCCTTAGTTAACCTCCCTACCACAATTTCACTATGATTATCAGAGTCTCTGATATTCATAGGTGAAAAAAGGGTTCACGGGTCTCGGTAGATGCAAAAGGGTTTACAAACTCGGTCAACACAAATACGACATCTCGATGACGTCATTAAAGAAACATAGAGAACGGAGGACATTTCCACTGGGAGACTCAGAAGGTTTTGTGGACGTGTAAGCGTAATCTGAATCATTAGGTTTTAACAGGCTAGCCGTCATTACGATCATGACATCTGGTGTTATTGTACAGGGGTACCTAGTGACAGCACTAGGATCCCGCTTCCTCTATCAAGGAATAAATATTGAAATTGAATTGACAATGTGCTGAAAGAAAGCACGTCAGACTACATGCATAGCATTATACTTACTCCCACTTACGTCCTCCCACGCATGCGTGATTAGAATTATTGTACCCCTAAAAATATTGCTAAATCTGACATCTTTGTCCTGTTCATTTATTGGTTGGTCTGGACAATGACTTCATAAAAATCAGTCTCCGAGTGTGACGTATGCGGGCGGGCCGTTTGAAAGCGTTGCCAATCTCGACGCTCGTCCTTCAGCAGCATGAAATGCGTCCCTTATAGAGACGTCCTGTACTTCGTGGGTTAATGGAACTGCGCCAAGGAGGTTTAATATAGGCTTCCTTGAACTGCACAAATGCCACAGGGCTTGACAAATAGTGACAGTAGCAAAATAAGTTAGTCAGCATGATGACCACTGTATTCAGCTATATGCGTGCATTGTTTCCACTGTTCATATACCATTATTTCTTTAAATATAAAAGTAACGAATAATGAGCAACGATTGGAACTGTCCACAAAAGTAACGCTGTTACCAATATCGTTACAAATTTTCTTAAGTAACGGTGTTACTGCAATTGTTACTGAAAAAGTAACGTTACTCCCAACACTGATTTTCACTTTTTTTTTCAATTTATCTGCTTACGAGCCACATCCTTATTAAATTATGTACCACGGAATGTATGTTAAGTTGCTTTGAAAGTACCCGCCCTTTTGCGGATGGCAGCGTGTCCTAATAACATCAATAAGAACTTCCGGGGTTTGCGTGGCCAAGTTCCCCGTCCCCGCGGGCCTTGTCACTCACTCACAGCATTGCAGAGAGACAGGCTGGTTGGTCTGACTGTCCTTTGCTGTGGCTGAGCTGAGGCTCCCCTCTTTATTGACGAAGCACAGAATCGTGAAGAGCTACTCTGTGGCGCTGTGGTTGAGATTTTCCTCTAGTGATGGCATCTACAGTCGCAGCAGACTCCGTCATGAAGGGGCTTGTGATCGTCGTGCTGGCTCTCATAGGTGAGCTTGTAAGCAAGGATTAATTAATGGTTGTGCATGTTCAAGTTTTGATGTCTTTGGCGCTATCAGATTTGGATTTCTTCCGAATTTTGTCTAATACCCCGCATAAATCCAGTACCACAAATCACAGCTAGATGATATTCGTGGCCTCCATTCCAGTTATATTTTCTTGCATTTTTAAAGCATTTTCTTAATTCGGGTGTTATATTAGGCTGATGCACCACTCGTCTCTTAGTTGAAGTAATATAAGTGCCCGCATCTGTTTTCATTTGAGAACACTGATCGCTCATCGTCAAATATGAGCGTTGATAGTTTTTTTTTCAGAGCACAGTAGTATAATTAATTAGAACTCGAGGAGTATCATTGCTAACGATTCAACATTTCCATTCCATCAACAAAGCCTTAAAAGTACAAGGAAAAAAATAGAGTAGCAGACTTCTTTAAAAACACATGATGATAGATATATAGCGTACATTAACTTCTCGTCTGTTCACTTTGTTCCATTTAGGCTTTGAGGCGCATAAAATTTTACAAAATAACAAAAATCATTCGAAAAATATCCTACATTTCAAAAGTTTTTGCTCAGTACTGTACATAATGAACGGCGATTAAGATTTAACTCGTTCGAGCACTTAGATATACAGGGTGTCCATAAATGATTACCCTAAAAACAGTATGCTCTCGTGTTTTAATTAGGGTACTCATTTATGGACACACTGTATTATTACAACGTAAAGCTTAAACTAAAGCAATAAGCACAATATATGGTAATCTGTAATCCTGCAAATTAAAATGAAAGTCACAAGAAATTTATACAATAAAAGTTAAATCAATCAAGTAATCAAAATAAACTATACTGAACAGTGTACTGTAGTTAGAATCCATAAAATACTCGACACAATCATAAAAATATTATTAAAGCTAAAACATTAAAACTGTATACAAGATCATACGTGATTGTAATACAACACACTGGCATCGTCGATTAAATTCATCAAAATCAATGGGAATTCTTTTTTAAAGCTGTAGAGTAAAAAATGGCGATCTTCCTGCGTTAGTTTGTTTTTAATACTTTACCACTTCTAAGCTTAGTAGTAGTTCGGGATGTTTGTCTGTTCTTTGTTAAGACCTCCACTGTCCAGTGTTATTCAGATTCAGATTTGCCCCCGAGGCGGCTAGTTTATTGGGCACCCCCTTACATCCTGTGCAAGGTGAAGCGCAGAAGCGTTTACAGCGCCCATCTGGGCAGTATGCAAAGTTCATACTTGCCTTTATGACTCGGACATTAAGGGCGTAAAAGCCTGAAGGGTCATAGGTTTTGTTAAGTTACATAAAGTGAGAGAATGATGAGTGTGTGGGGGTAAGTTCCCGGTACATTTCATCTGTTTATGGCAAAGTGTGGCAGGTCCCTAACAATGTCAAGTGCCAGGCCTGTGACTAGGAGGAGGGATATCTGGTCTGAGAGGGAAGAGGTGTTGGTAACAGCTGGGGACCTGTAGGAGGAGGTCATAGGGCAAGTGAGGATGTAGTGAGAGAGGGTGTGAGAGTCGGGTTGGCCACAAAGTTTACAAACAGTGCGGCCAGGCTCAGGGTTGCCAATGTACTCCCATAGGTACCTGTACCCTAGGCGCAGTCTCATGTATATAATCTGTTGAGATCGAGTCAGGGATTGATACTGTTTGTAGTGGCGGTTGTCGTCACCGGGTCCAGTGTTATTACAGTACATAAGGGAAGCCGAGTACACGGAGAAAACCTGCGATGTTTGATAGGGTCACCCTTACATTTGACCCAGCTACTGTGGATTGAACCCAAGGCACAAGAACCGTGCGTTATCGTTCTAGCACCAATGTCCACTCTGAGTGAACACAAAACAGAAACTTTTATCTCATAACTTTTAATGTTGTTGGACATTTTTTTATCGTGAAAGAAATTGGAGTATCTGTAAACATATTCAATCTTCTCCATCACAAGATTTTTTTAACCTTCTGATTTAGATATTTCTTACATCACACAATGGACGAGTAACGATGAGGTGCAGTACTTACATAATTGGTACTTTACAGTCACCCAAAAAAGTCCTGTCGCCTCTCATCCTGAACCATGAACCCCGAGATTCAGACTCTTGAATCCGAAACATTTATGGACAGAATAGTGTTCGTGTCTACTGCTTCGGGTTCACGAGTCTGAATCTCGGGGTTCGTGGTTCAGGACGAGAGGAGACAGGACTTTTTTGGGTGGTTGTACAAGGATATCGCTGTAGCACCACCTCCCTTGGTGTGAGAGTGTTAGGGATCTTCTGCAATGGCATTTTCGGTCTATCTACAGTACATGATAATTTCTGATAAAACTTTTTTGGTGGTACAAGAAAGCAGGAATATAAAGAAGGTATTACAAAAAATATTAGTACTTGGAAAATATATATTTTTTAAGAGATGGTCTAAAGGAAGGCAGCATAGTCTTTTTGTTTTACCTATATATGCTGCCCTACAGCTAGCACACGTAAATTGCTAAACAACTGAGGATTGCAAGTGTGTGGGTAATGGTGTCTTTAGTTTTAATGATTTTTTTTAATTGAACTCTGGGCTTTGAAGACTAGTCTAAGAGAAATTTGTGGACAGAATTCATTGAGAAGCTTCTCAAGTTTGTTTTTAAGGGTGAAACTGAGTGGGCCTGTGTACGGGATGGTGAGATAGACAGAATAAGGTGTGGATTTGAGGCTGTGTGGGACTAAAAATCCTATTAAAGGTTTTGCCTTATCTAAATCTCTTAGGGAAACCATTGTTACAGAGTAGTTCCTTTATGCATTTCAGTTCAATGTCCAGGTGGAAATAGTTTGAACATATATTAAAGGCTCTGTTGGTAAGCGTACGCACTAGATTTCGTTTGTAATTAAGAGGAATGAATGGTGATTTTTTTTATTCAAACCAGTGAATGTTGGTTTTCTGTATAAGGCTGTCTTGAAACTATTATGAAAACGGTGGATATTAACATCAAGGAATGGTATATTTATTTATTTATTTATTTTTATTTATTTATTTATTTTTACAGGGATTAGCCCACCCGGACACAGGTCACTGACCCACATTGGGGCCTGGGAGCGAAAACGTAATACTAATTACAATAATAATAATAATTAGTTCAAAGTAATTAAAAATTATAATAAATACAAAATTAAAAAAGAAATAATAATAACAATAATAATAATAATCGTAATAATAATAATAATAATATTAATATTATTAATAAGAATAAAGAACCATAAAGATATACAAAAATGAAAAAATAACAATAGTGAGAAATGATATATGTACACTGTACAGTATGTTGTGTTGTCAAAGAAAGAGAAACAGTTGAGATCCTGAAATTTTATATAAATGAGGCAGAAAGTCAGATCAGCAACCTGGGACTTGGTCACAATTTTCGTGGTGCCATATGGCAGCAGGGTCTACCATTAGCCAACACATTATGCTTCCAATATCTTCCCAGGAGGTACTGTAGTACCTCCCTGTTTGATAGCTGCCTACTACCTGTTAATATTGTCCCTTTCTAATTCACAAGTAAATTTGATGTTGTCATGCTTCTAATTTAGATAATTTAGGAACATAGGGACGTGATCAAGTGATCTGAAAATTAAAAATGTCATCAACATACCGACGATAGAACAAAGGCTTAAATTGGGCGATACATTCTGTTAGCCAAAATTTCGCGTGGTGACAAAGAAAATCGTTGGCCAACGTGGGACCTATAAGGGCGAACCCCAAGTTACACCACGTTGTTTATAAGCTTTGTTATCAAATAAAACAAACAATATGGGAACTAGGAATTTGGACAGATTATAGTTGAAGGTGCCAAGGGCAGACAATATAGGACGTAAGGTACACTCATCCTTGTGTACCTTTGGTAGACCGTACAGGATACCTGGTTTAGACCCACTAACAAAGAGTTGTAAAAAGGAGGAGTCAATAATGACATTCTGGCTTTTAAGTTTATGAAGAAATCTGTACCTTGTCCTCAAACTTGAGAATTACCTTGACTAAGTCGTCTAGGATGGGGGCAAATTTAGTTCGGTCGTTATGTATATTCAACATTTTCTGAATGTAAGATGTTTTATTAAGTACCACAACCCCATTACCCTTGTCTGGTTTAGTGATGATAGTATTATCGATGGATGCTAAATTTTTAAGTGCGAGAAATTCTTCCTTAGAAAGAGCTTGTTTGGTGCTGAACGAGTTGTATGAATAATTATAGGACCAAAACGTTAAGTGGCGGAGAGAGTTAATGAAATAATGCAAACCTTTTGATATTGGATCATATAAACTGAGAGGAGATGATTTCTTAAAGTCTCTCAAAACCAAGAAAATGGTTAAAAAAAAATCTAATTTGCGGGATCAAAAGCAAATTTCAGACCTTTAGATAAAACTTGTTGTTCTACTTAGGAGAGACAGATCTGAATAAATAAAAATCACCTTGTGTTTCGTTTTTATTGTACATTACCTGTAATTTTTTTCAAGCTGTCTGTTTTCTAGGCTCTGAGGATGGAAAATGATTTTCCGAAACGTTAGTAATTAAAGAAACCCAACTAAGTCAAGATGTTTGTGTTTTCTCTGGTTCTCCTTTCCATTATATATATATATATATATATATATATATATATATATATATATATATATATATATATATATATATATATATATATATATATATATATATATATATATATATATATATATATATATATATATATATATATATATATATATATATATATATATATATATATATATATATATATATATATAATAGGGTTAGGTGCTCATAAAAACATTTATGTCCATAAAAAGGCAAATATTTATGGTTAGTTGTATTTTATTAAATATACAGTTTTTATAGACTTTTTTGGGGGAATTCAAGTGGTTTTAAAACTCAATGTCAATGGACAGAATTTCATTACAAGATTTGTCATGTGGCAGGTCACTGCTCCCTCCCTGGCCTCCAGCAAA